TACAGAAATCTGCATCATCTTCATTTTGACTTTGTTGTTTACTGCTGAACTCTGCTTTTAAAACAGCAATAACAAGGAAGAAATTTACAGTCATTTAAACACCCTGGACAGGCTTTGCTAAGCTGCAGTGCCTTGGCCACTGATAAAACAAATTAGCATCAGAGTAAGAATAGGACAAGATAGTGCTATGACAGAAATAATATAAGAAATAATAAGAACCCAGGTGTACATAATTAAGATTGTAATTCAAGCAAAGGGTTCTGGTGACATCATTTATCAATGTCACTACAAACTCTCAATGGAATTACAGCTTTGTATGTAGAATTCAGAAATACGTGATTTGTTAGAATACATGAGGAATGTTTCTATTAAAAGTAGACAGACAATATGTTAACCTCAAGTAGTGGTGGTGACAGGATGAGATACAAAGAGAAGATTTTTTTTTTTTCCTATTCTAGCAAAGGAAGAAGGATGAAACAGAGTATTTTAAAGATATTTTTAAATTAAAATTACTTAAAATACTGGCTAGGGATTTTTTCACCTGAAAATCAGAAAAAGTTTTGGTTCTAGTGTGATTCAACACTTCAATAAAAAACAGAATTTTACTGCAAAAGTGAACAAAGGAAAAGCAAAAATAGTGATTTGCCCATCTCAATATATAGCACAAAATCACATTAAAATAAGTTCAAGAAAAAAATTTCCATTAAAAGGATGGTATGAAATATTTACAATTAAACACACAGTAAGGCTAGTAGTAAATTATTAATTGCAAATTAACTCATTTTTGGGAGGAAAAAATAGTGAACATTGATACTTTTGAATGCATGTGCTGAAAGGAGATTATAACTTTCACTCTTTCTGAACCTTTGATTCTGATTTTGTTTATTCTTATAGCCAGAATACTTTCATGAAGATAATTATGAATCAGAGGCCCCACTGTCTCTGTGAACTTTAAGGGCCTTAAATGAACTTAAAAGGCTAATTAATATAAAATAACATTCTTAAATCAGGTCCCTAAGTATAATTTAATGCCAAACTACTTAATCGGTTACCTTGTGGATTTTTCAGCCTCACTCAGGTGTCCACAGACCTTGCACATTAAAAGTGAACAGCATCTCCTTGAGAAAGTAGCACTTAGTAAACAGTGATGGCTCCCAGAAATACAGTGCAGACTGAGACTTGACTACTGACTGATTACAGAGAAAGATTTTAATCAATGAGGTGAGGAAAAGGTTTCCTTTGACTTGATAAACTTAGCACTAAATCTCACCTGCATGAAGTGACTACAGCTATGGATACAAAAATTCGAGAAATTATTCAAGGCACTGTGTGGATTTTTCAGTTTTGGTCACTTTCTGAAGTACTCTAATTGAAGCCCATAAATAAGATTCCCTTTTAAGTTCAAAACAAAACTTGCGATGCTCTTGAATACAATCTGAAATGGGTTTATGGATTCTATATGATCACTGATAATATCAACAATTTCTCAAACTTTGTTATTTACAGGCTGCAAAACTGCCTCAAAAGATAATGTATTCTCTAAAACTTTCAGAAAATGCTGACTGATGTAATAAAGTCATGGGGTTTTTAGTTCTTATTATAGAATTGTGGAGGGTTTTGTTCTCTGTTGCTGAAGCGCATAACTTTTGTAAAAACTGAAATGCACAAAGACTTGGGAAGTTGTGGAATAATAGCACTTCTAGTCTAAGTTCACAAGTCTTGAAAGTTTAGCTTTGTACTTGATGCTTGAAGAGAATGTCTTGAACAATAGTAGTTTTGACCTTGAGTAACTTAATTTGGAAAGGAAATTTGGCCAAACTAGCTCAATGCAGGAGTTCTCATCAAGGATTAATGCAGAGGATCAATATGAACTTTTTATAGCAGACTATTTTTGAAAGAGGACAACAAAAGGTTAGAATACTTTAAAACTTGAAAAAGCAAATTAGGATACTTAAAGTGGGCAGAATGGAAATGTAAAAAGCAGGAATCTTGATTTCATGCCAGCATTTAGTAACACAATGCAACTAAAATTTAGAGACAACTGACGTTAAAATTATATTTTTGTTTCTTTGTGAAACCATAACGGAGCTTATAAGCATTTATCTACCCTGTCTTCTCATCTCTTCATGGTGGTACTGAATGGCAAACACTCAAGATTGCATTTGACTGATGTTACTGTCATAATTTTCCTATTTTCTACGAGGTCAAAATTGCATATGAACATATGTCTTTATTTGAAAGTCTAAAGACTTAATTACCTCCTAAACAAAAGAGTTATGGAAAACACATAAGCATAGCTCCTCCTTAAGTTCCTATACACACAAATCCCACTCCCGAAGCGTAAGAGCTCCTGTAAAGGGGAATCAGACCCTTTAATAACCCTGTCACTAGCAGCAGATATTTATGCACAACCTTATGTTACCTTAACAAAGGACCTAAAGGACAGATTGATCCCACTTACTGTCCCCATCACTGTCTCCTCTCCCCTTGTCTCTCCCTTAACTACAAATCAAACTATAATATGGCTTCTTAGCTCAGCTCGAACCTGACATTTTTCTCTCCTGTCATATGGCAGACTCACAAGAGCTTACTACCCAGCCCTGCAACATTTATGGTCAGGGAAGTTTGTGACCTAGAGAAATCTCCATGAGCACTGGGGGTGTTTATGAGGTTCAGCAGGTATCTTCAGCTACCTGTAGCCATTCCAGCCACCCATCTGTAACAGATTCCAATACATTTCAATCCATTTCAGAATACCATTAAAAGGCTGGTTAAGTCTTTGCAGATTACACTAAATGTGTTTTAAGAAACATTGTACAAGCTTTACACAGAAGTAAAACTTTTCTAATATTGTGATTTAAATCAGGGTCTCAAAATTTTCTGTTTCTGACTCTTGTTAAGTCAAATGTTCAAGTAGTTTCTTCTTCATAGGCTTCTCCACTCTTCACCTGTGGGCTTTGGAAGCAGAGCAAGGTAAATGAAAAACAGCAAACAGTTTTGCCAGATAAGTACCTTTTTGAGTTCTTCTTCTCCTCTTTCCCTTACTTTGACTTTTTTCCTGAGGATGAGGCAATGGCATCAACTTCTTAATTCTCTTTATTCAGTTCAGAGAAAAATTTGAAAAAAGTTTTTTGTAAGACATGGGTTTCTCAGCCCTGAAATTTCACTTCTTCTTTGTTCTTCTTCTCTCATTCATTTCTGTCTTTTGTAATTTCTGTATTTCTTCTCTCTGGACCACAGTTCATGTCTTCCCTCTCCTTGAAGCTGACTGTATCTTTAAAGAGAGTTGAGAATGCTTCAGGTGATGGAGAAAGACCATGATTGTCTTTCTTCAAACCTCCACATTCTGGTTTAGAAATTAATTGGGGGTTATGATATTTTCAGTAATGGCTGGTTGATACACTGTTTCCAAATGTGAGCTCTGCTTTCAACAGCAGAACGATAAAGATGTGATGATTAATAATGAAGAACAGCATTTTTTATTTTACAAAACAAGCCTCTCAGCTTCAGTGGTGTTATTCATGAATAACACCTTGTGCATATGCATTATGAGACAGTGCTTAATTGAATGATTGCATAATATGTTGTTCCACAGAATAAAATATGAAATATTCATTAGGCCAGAGAGGGAGTTAGAATGCCTGGTGGTTAAATCACTCACCAGGGAAATCCAGCTCCTACTCCTTTCTCCAAGTGAATATGTAAGTAGTTTACACAAAAAGGCTTTAAAAGCAACTAGGATTTTTTTCCCAAAATCTACTGTACTCTCATGGCTAGTGTACTATCCCAACAGGCAGGATTATGGTCTGACTGGGGCATGGAAAGACACAGTTAAACATGGATCACCTACATCCTTTCATGCAGTTAAAGTAGTCAGATATGCTTTAACCACTAGGCAGCTGGGTTTAATGGATCCAAAAACTCCCCACGGATTTTATTTTTCAGGAAATTATTGTCTTGGTATAGGTGCCTCATTCAGGAAAGGGTTTCCAGATGTGACTCCAGAGTAGAAGGAAGCACTTTATTGCAGTTTAAATCCACACTCAGTTAAGGTGAGGGACGTGGTGTAGGCAATCTGTGTATATTCTTAGCTTAAAGTGGAGGGCTCTCCACTCACTTTTGGATGCCTTGAGTCAACTGCTAAGAACCTTATGCCTTACATCAGGAAACAGGATGGTGGTAGGATACTGAAAATGTTGCAATAACCTGTAGATCAACACCTGAATCCTCTGCAGATTTAACCTTTGCCAATCTGTGAGGTGGAAAGATCTTCAGGAGACAGGTTTAGGCAAATTGATCTCATAATAGTTGCATCTATTGGAATCATGAGAAAGCTTATTGCAACAATATTGGAAAAGAAACTTGAAATAGATGGAATTGGGAGGAAAATAATGCTACTTAAATAAAATTTACATCTCAGAGAACAGTTGGCTCTGTCAAAAGATATATATGCGTTTTATGAGTTACTGGTAAATAGCAATTAAAAAATGCTTTTGATTTTGTGTAGGCTATCACAGAGAGGCATTCTCCTGGCATATTTATTTTTGCGTTTATTCGGAAAAAAAAAGAGAAAGTGAGATTGGGGAAATAACACACTCAGGGGAGACAGAATAAGTCAGAATAAATAAATATGCCCAAAACAATAACAGAAGCAAATGTGGCACCAAATATCACTGATAGACAAAGAATACATTAATTCAGCATTGCAAATTACTTTTGCTTAAGGCAGATGTTCTTGGTATACTCTTTTAATTATTGCTCTTCTCATCAGTTTGCAACTTAAAGCACATTCTCTCAGTAGCAATTAGGGAATGATATGATTATACAAAGCTCTATGAACAAGAGAAAGCTTCTGAATCAAAACAATACAGATTTATTTTTTTTAAAGCTTGCATTGTAGCAGATGTCTTGTGCACTGTCCATCTAGAAAACCCATTCCACATCTTTTAGAGGCTCAGGAAGCAGTCTGGGCCAACAGAAACTTCAATTTTTATATATCATCTCTTTTCAACTTAATTTCTCTTTGGACCATCAGCTTCTCCTCAAGCATGCAGCAAACAGGAGGATGTGCCTGGTGAACCAGAGGGTTGGGTTTCGTGGCTCCTGTTCATACACAGAGAGGTTTTCCTTGAGGACATTCTACTTGTATAGATATACATATGCAGCTATAACTTTAGATATCTCTCTCTCAGTACCTCACTAGTCCTAGAAGCTGCTGTAAGAAGGCAGGGAGCACATGACAATTGTGTGTTTATCCACTTTTGTGTGTCCAAAGGATTAGAGGTCTGCCAACATCTGCCAGTCATACCAGTAGCACTAAGTTTGAGAGTCTGTGATGTCTCCTATCATTACCCACAGGCTAGGAGTCTTAACTCACTGGTTTTTTTCTCTGCACTGTGCTTCATGCACTGATGAGCTAGGACATTATTAAGTAGTTTTCTGTCTAAATCCACCTTTTATTGAAAAGTCCAGGTTGTTTCAGCAGATCAAACCCAGAGTTATGCGGGTTATAAAAGTGCATGAATATGGATCAATATATGTGGACTGGCTAAAGTTCAAGGTTTTATGACAGCAACCACCATAGTGGACTTCTCTTCAACTTAAGAGTTCATAAGAGGACAAAAGTTTCCTATCTTCGTATTCTTTTCACAGTGAGTCTGGGATACTGTCAACAAATGAAAAATAGTGAATTGTCCTCTCTATTCACTGCTGCATTTAGTTAGTTCAGTTGGAGACTAGATTAAATTCTCACTACAGCTGTTAGTATTGTTAAGATCATAAAGATAACTACAGTATTAAAAAAGATAAATTACAGATATAGTGCCTTTAATATTTTGGGAAGTCACTTTGAAATTGATACTTTCCCATCATCTGTATTTTAACTAATGACCAGACCCCTTTTCTTCTTAAGGATGAAACAAGAAACAGGGTATTTAGTTTTGGAGAGGTCCTGATTTATCTTTTTTTTTTCCCAAACTTAAAGTGGGAGAGTAGGTCTAAAGGCCAGCCATAACAGACATTTAACATAGATTGATACATTATGGAGCAATTAAATTTTCACATTTACATAAGTGGTAGTAATTTGATTTTTACAATAAGTGAAAAATAAGATAAACCATTTTCAAATCAAAGAGGGAAAGAGATAGATTGGGAGAATTTACCATCAAGGAGCCTATTTATGTACAGTTGGCTTCTCAAAGCTTGATTTCTGCTAGAAATTTTGTCAACATGCAAAACATCTAGAAGTGCATAAGCACAAATAATTTTATTCTTCTTTCCTAAGTGGATAAATCTGTCCTACAAATTTCCATTTTTGTCTTTATTTGTTAGGAATACTAAGCAATCTGTCATTGTTTCCTTTTGCATTAGTATTGATCATCATTATTTTAGGAATATATCAGCTTAAGAGAAACTTTTTGAGAGATTTAAGTAGGTCTGAGGGTTGGCATAGTTGCACTATTCCTTAAGAAGTGGCCAAACACAATTCAGGTAGATCCTTGACTTAGGTATCTACAATTCAGGCATTTGAAAAAAAAATTAAGAAAAGATGCCTTTACATCTTACAATTCCTCTGCTTCTGAGAATATTGTCTTAAAAAATAAAGGTGAGGAAACATAGTTCTGTATTATAATAATGTAAGAGTTTTTCAATTAAACTACTCAGATATGACAAGGATAGAGGTCAACTGGTACCATGCTACTGTTGCCTCTCATGGAAGACAGTTAAGTCATAAAAAATATTTAACTTCATGTCAATGTCAAAGAACACATTCTACAGCCATTGCCATAATAAACTGAGTTCTTCCTCATTCCACATGGATATTATAGCATCTGAAGCAGATATGGTAATAGGAATACCGAAGACCATGGCTGTGACTTGATAATATCTGAGTTAACACATAAGTATGGAGGGGACATTTTCAGTAATAGCCATGTTCAGCCTATTTTTCAGAATATGTCAGACTTCTCTAGCTAATAGTGTGCATTTGGCTTGCGTTAGGAATCTAGTTTTTCTGGAATTTCATCAGTTACCTTTCAGGTAAGTGTCAGTCCAACTGAAGAGGCATAACTCTGCTTCATTCAGGATGAGGGTGAGGCCATACGAATGGATCAAGATAAATACTGATAAAACAAATAGAGGAAAAAAATAATGGTAGAATTGAGACTAGGACAAGAGGTCATAAGTACAGCTTGATCATATTACAGTAAAATGACTGATTTCAGGACACCACACCAGAAAGTTTAGGTGATCACAGGAGGAACTTGGCTGATTTATAAATTAACTGAAGAATAAAATCAGGTAACTATTCATTTGAAGTGTGCTTTCAATATTTTCAAGTGTTCTATTCAAATTTCTGACTTAAAAAGGAATATGATGCTATCTGCCCTAATGGAAGCAATTATTGACAATGTGAGAATTTGGCTAGAGTAGAGAAGTTGTTGCCTCACTGCAGCAAATTTCCAATGAAGGTAATTATTGACTAAGGATTTGACTTTATGACAAAATGTAAACAGCAGTGAGAAGGGAACGGAGGACTGCAAAGAAGTTGGGGCTACATTCTTGTTGAGGTACAGCCCCTTTATTTTCAGATCTCTTCAGGGGAAGGGGGCCCATGGATCTCAGGAGTGATGCTAAGGCCATGTTAGCAGGGGGGAGAGCTGATGGCAGTTTGCCACCACGTGGTATGGATTACAAAGGAAGTATGACCTGCACTGGACGAGTCATTGCCAGATGGTTCCCAGATGTGTTATTTATGAAGTCACGGCCTACTAAAACCACATTCCTGGTGTCTTGTCTTCTTTTCCTGCAATGTCCAAGACATTAATGAAAGAATGTATGAGAACTAAATAGCAGACCAGTTGTCAAAAACCAAATGGCAACAGAAATCCTTTCCTGTCTCTGGATATATGTAAATACATATTAGATTAACAAAACCAGCTTTAAACAGCTGATCCCTGAAGAGTCATAGAACTGGTAGTAGTGCATGTTAAGGACAGTACTTATCTTGGCCTCATCATTCCCTTGCGAATCTCTACCATAAAACTTACCACAATATCCTTGATGATTCTGTTCTTGTGTCTTTTGGCTTCCAAAGAGTCTTCTCTTCCCTAACCTCCGCAATCAGAGAAAAAAAAGTCTTATATATAAAATCTAGGTTATTCCTTAAAATATGCACACCAAGCTAATCTGGATGAATGCTGTAGTGTTTCAGATGATCTGACAATGTCAAATATAATTTGTGGGTTGATTGGTTGGTTGCTTTGTTTGCTTAGATTAGTCAGGTTTGGCAACATGCTGATGTGAATGAGTGATCATGCAAGTTTTTTACAAGAAGGTAATTTATTTAGTTTGTGTAATGCATCTGAGGCAATGCAGTAACAGTGCAGTAGAGCATAATTTTCTATTGCTTTTGTTGGTGTGTTTTTGTCTTTTGTTAGAAATGAATGGAATATTATTTGGGGGGTTTTTGGTTGGTTTTTTTTTTGGTTTTTTTTTCTTGTTGGTATAGTTATGAGAAACAATTCCTGAGTCATTGCTAAGAAAGTAGACAAGAACACTGCAAACAAGCTAGTGCTTTGTAACATCCTAGAGACAGAACTCTAGCAATATGACTTGACATACAGAATAACATCAGTTGGCACAAGTTTTATTGATTGCAACCTATCATGTGATGGCCCCTCAGGTTTTAATAAATAAGCTGGAATTCTACTTGTACAAGAAATAATGGAACTATGTTTAAAACAATTCAGACATATTTATTCTGAATACAGAAACCTCATGACAGATTATTTTGTGTACAACATTTTTATGCAGCTATTCAAAACGGACAGCAACCTGTTTGCTTTCTGTTCCCAGAAAGTATGGGATATATATTGACATTGATTTTCATTACAGTGATCTGTGTTTCTTTCTCAATTTATTCCCTTCATGAGCAGTTTGCCTAGGTGGAGGCCAGTGTACATGAAATCTGAATATGTCCATAATGTGAAATAGTGTTGCAAATATATTCAGGGTCAATGTGATTTTTCTATTTATGTAGTATACTCCTTTATTGTAGATACCAAGAAAAATGAAACTGCTATAATCCATTTCAGACAAATACAAAACAGCAAAAAAGATGTGTGTAGCACATTTTTTATGGGTACAAGAACTCACAGGTAAAGAGACTGGTCATCTTCATTCAGACAAAACATTTTGAATTATTCATCTGATTGTTAGAAGGAGAGAAAAAAAAGAGTATGGCTATCATTAAAGAAAATCCCTGGAACCTGTTAGAAATTTGTTAGAAAGATTAAGCTTTGCAAGTTAATATTATATGAAGTAGGGATGGGAACTGTGATGTACAGATATCCGTGTTTAGGATGAAGACATGGCATATTATGACTATATTAGAGGACATAGAGCTCACACATCAAGAGCTAATAGTTTAACAAAGAAGTCACGGAGTAATTTATTGAGACAAAACCAAACTAACCGTTTGGCTTTTACCATTGTTCAAAATACAACCTTCTTGCACAGATAAGTAAGACAAGTTAAAATCATTTAAGAACAATAATGACTGTCAGGAAGTAGCACGTCAGCTGTATCAATATTCCCACAAGTGGAAGCTAATTGAACAATACATTAATGGAGTTCAATTATTCCAGATATTTTTAGAGTTCCAATTCTTACAAAATTTACATTTCAAAATAGTGGACCAAATTAGTTTATACCTACATGATCTTATCTTTCCCGATTTCCAGTTAAAACTTGATTCCAGACAAACAGTAAAAATTCATCCCTGTACAGTAATTGCAACAGATTTGATAAGTCTTGGATTCATCCCAATGTATTTTTATGAGGAGAATGCACAATTTCATAATTTGTTTTCATATTAAACCTATGTTCTACTAGGACGTGTTCAGAGACAAAATTATAACTTAGCTTCCATCTGAGTGGTGTACGAAATTCCTTATTACAAGGAAACACAGTTCTAACCCAAACTTTTAGCTCTTAAGGTCCCAATACCTGATGATAAAATGTCTCTACTGTTTTCTACACCTTATGCAGAGATATCATCAAGGATAGTGCAGTTTGGAGTATTATGTGTGAATGCATATGAGCCAACAGCAATTAATGAACCGGCTGCTAACTCAGTCTTTCCATTACACCTTTATCTGCCACTGCAGTATGACCTAGATTGAATTTCTTCCTCACTTAAGATTTTCCATTACTCCTTACACAGTTTAGAGTTCACTTTGATTTCTGAGTATTCATACCAGCCAGCGTGCCTGAATTGTTTGGAGCTCAGAACAATAACTCCTATTGTTGGGAACACCAAAGAGTTACTAAAAGATGGAGAGAAAGAGGGAAAGATGCTCGGAGACAAGGAAAGAAGGTAGAACATTTTCAATAACATGAAATGATTTGAATGATGAGGCAAATTTGATGATGACACTAAACACTGAGGAGTGGTTTGTATGTCAGAGGGTTGTGCAGCCATATGGAGGGACCTCGACTGACTAGAGAAATGGGCTGACAGGAACCTCATGAAGTTCAAGAAGGGGAAGCACAAAGCCCTGGGGAGCAACAATGCCATGAGCTTGTAACTGCTGGGTGGCAACCATGTGGAAAGCAGCTTTGCAGAAAAGGACCTGAGGTTTCTGTGCGAGCTGTAATATGCCACGGTGGCAAAGAAGGCTAGTGGGATCCTGGATTGCATTAGCAGGAGTGTTTGCAGCAGATCAAGGGACACAATCTTTCCCTTCTTCTCAACACTGGTGAGGCCACACCTGGAAAGCTGTGCCCAGCTCTGGGTTCCCTATTATAGGAGAGACATGGATATATTAGTGAAAGTCCAATGAAAGGCCAGAAAGAGGATAAGAGACTGAAGTATCTCTCCTATGAGGAAAGGCTGAGAGAGTTGGGACTGTTCAAACTGGTAGAAGCCTCAGGATGGTCTTATGAATGCCTGTAGGGAAGGTACAGAAGCAATAGTCAGGGTCTTTTCAGTGGCCCAGTGACAGGATGAGAGGCAAGGGAACAGACTGAAACACAGAAAGCTCTGCCTGAACATCAGGAAACATGTTTTTCGCTGTGAGTGTGACTGACCATGGGCACAGGCTGTCCTGGGAGGCTGTAGAATCTCGCTCCTTGGAGATATTCAAAAGTGGTCTGGATATGGTCCTGGGAAACCGGCTTTAGGAGGCCCTGCTTGAGCAGAGGAGTTGGACCAGATGACTTGCAGAGGTCCCTTCCATCCTCAGTCACTTTGTGATTCTTTAAGTGAAAGGAATTCACTTTAGTGAAAGTGCATTATTTAGGCTACACATAATGCTACGTGGGATCAAAGAGAATTAAACTAGACCAACATTTGACCATTTTTTCAAGGTTCTTCCGAATGTGCCTTTATAAATAAAAATTCTTACTTGATATGGAAAACAAAATACTTCACCATTATATATTTTAAGAAAGTTTTTTTTCTGTCCATAAGACCAAAAACATGGCCATGAAAAATCTTGTATCAACCTCCCACTCCTTTCATTAACTTTTGAAACTTTGCTTTGTTTTCATTAGTATTTTTTCAAACCTAGCAAAAATCCTAAAATTACAAAACAACAAACATTTACCATGACAAAAGATTTTTAAAAATACCAAATTTAAATAGATTTCTAATTTTATATGCTATTATCAGCCTTGATATTATGTAATTGTCAATATATAATATTGACAAGATAATTTGCAGAGCATTACTCATGCCATTTAGCTTAAGTCTTATTTCTTATTTCCTTTGCAAGTTTTTAAAACAGAGATGATTACCTAAAGAACAAGTTAGATCCTTTATCACAGCAAAAATTGCCAGCAATAGATGAAATGTGTAGATATTAGGAAAACATTATTTTAAAGTTATATGTGCAAGAGTGTTTGTTGCTTTACATGGTGGTTTTCAAGGGCTTTATAACAGTTTCTGTTAATAATGGGTGTTGTTAAATATTTTGTGGTTTGACTGAGGAATGGAAAGAAATGTTGAAATCTGAGACAATATTAAAATACTTTAGAAACTTTAAAGCATTATAATAGTTATTTCAATAAAACTACTTCAAATATTTCTTCAAGAAGGAAACAATTTGGAGTTCAAGTTCAGCAGCATAATAACTGAAAACGTATAGCAGTACTCTTATTCCCAACACTAAACTATAGATTAGGGTCTTTTTCAGTTGTTGCCATTGTAAATCCCTGTTCCCAGGGGTGCTAAGCTATCATAAAAATTTGCTTTGGGCAATGCTTTGAGATAAGTTCTTCAAACAATGCATAGGGGATTGGCTTGCAACTCCCACTTGTGTTAATAGAAGCTATCAAGGCAAATCTCTCATGGATTCATGGGAGAAGAAGCTCTAGAGTATAAAAAAAAAGTTTTGGCCTGAGGATTATTTGGTTTTGATATATATCCTGATAAAAACATGCTGTAAAATAAAACACTTCAAGCTAGTGATCTCAGTTATTTCCTGGGACTGTTAACACTCAGTAGATTTTTTTAAACTGTTTTAAACTGAAATTCTGTTGATGAAATCTGCAACATAAATTGTTTCCTAACAAATTGTGTAAGAAAGAATAACAGCTTGGTTAAAGAAATAAAAATATTCAAGGCAATAATATACTATTTTATCCAATTAATTGCACAGAAAAAAAATCCATAATACACTTCATTAATTCAAAATGCTGGTAGAGTTTCATTTGGATATAACCCTTGTTCTTTAGAAGGTGGGGATATAAGTTGGTGTGGTTGATCTGAGTGTATATGGCCCTTAACTTCTACATGTAGCTTCACATTTTCCACTTTGATGTAGGTTACACACGTGGGATACCAGCTCATCTTCCCTCTTCTGGGAGAAATTCCATTCTTCCCTCTTCTTCTGGGAGAAATTCCATTCCCCCAGTTCCAACAGCTCACATTTCATACAGTCCATCCATGAATCAGGTCATGGGTTTACTATACATGAGTGCTGTGATAAAACAACTTGACACACTTCATCTTCTAAAAAAAAACCTGTCTGTGTCTATGTCTCTGGTGCCTGAATTCCCTAATTATCTAGACAGTAAAATAGACCAGAAACTTCCACTGAGGTCCAAAGTTCTCCTAGTCATTTACGTTAAACGTACAAGTGTGTCTGAATACGGAAAAAAAAAAAAACAACAAAAA